GTGTCTGACACATAAGTACCTCTCTAGACCGAGTGGTTAATAAGTTTGAAGAAATACTTGTGGACACAAACTACACAGGGGGCCGTGTCCAGGCTGGGCCATCATTGCTCCGGGTTCACAGGGAGCAGACATCTGTGGCCAGGACGCGGGCAGCCAGTAAACCTGACAAAAGCCGGCTGAACCAGTGTGACACCTGACCCACAGGACCCCTTCCCCGTTCGCGTCGTGGGGCTGCCGCTGTCCTCACTCCAGGCTCCTTCCTTCCTGGACTCGAAAAGCCCAGGAGGCCCGGTCAGGGGAGAAGTCAGGATGCCTCCCCTTTTTGCTGATTCCTAAGTGATAGAGAGTCTGACACCTTGACCGGTTGCATCTGTCGACCCCGGACACTCCTCCCTTCCCTGACGTGGGGAGGATCCTCTGTCTGAAACGCCATGGGTCCCAGGCAAGGGCTTGAGCCCAGGAAGGAGCATAGGGCTTTCTATTGCACCCAAGCTTGTAATATTGACACCATCAGTGCCCACACACTGACATCCCTGCCGGGGTCCCTGAGGAGAGTCTCCTCTGGGTACAACGTCCCACATCAAGTCCCCAAACCTGTTTGAGCGTGGCATGCACAGATACAGCAGAACCGGAACCTTATAAGGGTGTAGCTGGCACACAGGTGAGTCAAACTGTGTCAGGCGGTTCTCAACGGGCCCTCGGAAGGCAAGGGCCCAGCACCCGTGGGGAGCCTGGCCGGGAGCCAGCGCAGCAGACGGAAGGGCGTGTCCCTGCAGGCCCTGCCAGGCACCCAGCACCCTCAGCCAGAGGCAAGATGTGGGGACCAGGGGACACACCGACTTACAGCACGGTCACCGCAGCCCCACGGGCGCTGAGCGGACAAGCAGCTCCAGAGCCCCATGAGAACAGGAAGAGTGACAGGAGGAAGGCACGGGGAAGAAGCAGACGCACCAACAGCCGACAGATACGAAAAGTTTCAGTTCACTAACACCTAACACACAAATCAAAACCAAAGGACAGTGTTCTAATCGGGAGAGGATAACAAAATGGAGCTTTGGAGGGACGGAGAGGGATGGGTAGATATGAAAGAGGGCACATAACTTTCTATAAGAAAACTTAGCGATATGTACCGAAAGCCTTCACCCAGAAATTCCACTTCTAGGAATTTGTCCTCAAAAATAATGAGAGTTCTGAACGGATTTAACAGAATCAGTATTCTTTATGTACTTTATATGCTTATTCAAAGATTTACATAGGAAGATGTTATTCACAGCGTTTATTATAGAAAAAGTTGGAAATGCAAGATTGATTAAATTAATCAGTATGCAGTCATTTTGAAAATGTTTTCCAAAAATATTTATGACAGGAGAAAACATTTGCAGCTTACACCGTGAAGTTGGAGCGGGAAGTGTGACATGCCTACAAAACACAGTCCTGGTTCTGTAAAGCAAAGACGAAGGCACACATCCTGGATGCAAAAGGTCCGAAGGCCGTGCAGCAGCCCTAAGCCACGGCTCATCTTTGGACCAGAAAAGTAACCCGCCCGCCCACTCCCCGCCCCTGCCCAATAAGGTTTCTAAGCTATAATGACAAAGGTGTTTGTTTAGACTCCAAAAAGGCCTCCAACGAAGTAGTGAAAACTGCACAGAAGCCTCCTGTAGTGTTATTCTCCCCCAACACAGCAGACACTGCCCTGTGAGTGTAAACACGGTCCTCCGTCCCTCCTCGGAGAAGGACCCCTGTGCGAGCACCGGGACCGGGGCCCTGGGGTGAGGGCAGCACGGAAAAGGGGTCAGAGGACAGAGGAGTCTGCCTGCGGGGTGGAAACGTGGGATGGGCTTAGGGGAGGGTCTCAGGGCAGCATTGTGAGTGGGGCCAGGGAACATGGATGAGACCACTGTGGGACCCAAAACGGGGCTCCAACCAGAGGGTGGGTGAGGGCGCAGCACCTGCTGAGATAGGGCACTGTGTTCCTCCGCGTTCTCAGGCTGCACGAAAGGCACCGCTGAGAGTTCTCCGTGGTACTGTGCTGCTTCCTCTCTTCTCCTCACAGGACAACTCGTCACCGATTGCTTTGTCCCCTGCAGACTCTCCCAGCACTGGCTTTCTTGTACCCTCTGGTGGGCCACGACTTGCTCCCCCCAAATACCTGCAGGGCCCCTCCCTCCCACGTAAGCGGAAAAAACAGGGGCCCCACAGCCAGAACGGGGGAGTCACAAGTATTAAGGCAGAAGTGTTTGGGAAAGTGTAAGAGGCTACATGAGGGGGGAGAGCCACAGGGTCAAGAAATATTGTCCCCAAAGCTCTGGGAATTGACCAGCTGTGGCAGGTGGCTGACCTCAACCATCCTGAGTGGATCAGAGATGGTTTTTAGACCGAATATCCTGAAATGCAACAGAATCCTGACCTGCAGGCTTAATTAACTCTTACAACTGTGGGTGCTGTGCAGTTTTCAAAGTGCTTTCTCGCGCATCGCCTCTTTGGGTCTGAGGAGGTAACAGAGCAGGTTCCATGCCCATTTCACAGATGAACAACTGAGGCTCAGAAAAGTTAAGTGGCTTGCATGAACACTCTCAGGGTAGTAGGTGTCAGAACCATCTGGATTTGGCTCCCCTGGCACCAGTTAGCTCACATACAAACCCAGGTGTTGAGGTGCTGCTGCATTTAGGTTAAATAAAGTCATCACTGCTCTAGCGTCGGCCTATGGACCAAAAGGTGCTGGGTTCGATTCCAGTCAAGGGCATGTACTCCTGTTGCAGGTTCCTCCCTGGCCCACCCTGGTCAAGGCGAGCACAGGAGGCAACTAGTCAATGTGCTTCTCTCACATAAATGTTTCTGTCTTCCCTTCTCTCTTTCACTCTCTTTAGAATCAACAGAAAAATATCCTCGGTGAGGATTTAAAAAACAGAGACATCACGGACACAAAGCTCTGCCTCCTGTACTCTGACAGCAGAAGTAAAGCCCCTGCAGAGATGGACTCCAGGAGAGGGTCAGCGGGAGGGTGGGCGCAGAGGGAAGAGCCTCGGGGAGCCTCCGAACAGACAGCAAGGTGAGCCCATCCCCTGCGAGGGACGGAGCTGTAGAACCAGCCGGCTCGCGGGGCCCACCTGATGTGGTCCTTCCAGGAGTGCTCCCAAATTCAACCAAAACTCTGGCTCTGCCACTCACCTCCAGGGGAGCATTCACTGCACCTGAACTAGAACTCAGGATCAGGATGCACCCCACTGGGCTGCCAGTGCACCCACACCCCCAGTGCTTAAGGAGAGACTAAGACAGACCCTTACTCTCCAACCCCCAGCAGCCTGCACGGACTGGCAGTCCAGAAGAGCTGGATAGACCTTGGGGGGCAGGAGCAGCATTGGCTCCAGAGGAATCCTGTGCACCAGGCAGCGCCCCCCTCTGCCATCTGCCCTCCCCCCCTCCATAGTGCGATCCAGGAATGGCATTCACGGTAGTGTCACTCAGTGCACACTCAGAATCAAGTAGCCATGTGAAGGGGCAGCAGGAGGGACCTTGTGACAGTGCTGGTGGTGACAGGAATGTGCACACGACCTCCACACATGCCAACGGGGCGGCTGAGGTCCTGGATGTGACACTGGCGACAAGAAGTCACTTTGAGGAGTCTCTATTTTATCCCACAACAGCCTATGATGATCTCACTAGAAAGTTTTTAAAAAATGAAACACCACACTGCTATGGTGTTGGACATGAGCTCAAAAGGCCAGATACCCACTGAGCTAAAGAAACGGACAAGGATTTGGAACTCCTACACGTGCCTGCGGGTTCTTCTCCCATAGGACTCAGCGGGCACGTTTGATTTTGGGGGTGGGGGCACTCACTGCCAGGCTCAAGAGCGGATGGGTGGGGGTGAGGGCCGCGGAATCAGCAGAGGGGCGGAGGAAAGGATGCAAACTTAGTGGAAACGAGGGGTTCGTAGAAAATCTGTGTAAGACTGAAGATGAGAACGAAATCCTGCAACTCACTGCAGCTTCGAAACCCCCAACCCCCTTCCTCTGCGGATGTCCTGGAAACCCTACACCAGAGGATCCCCCTAGTCGGTAGGGACGCTGGTACGGGGGCCGCGGCGGGACTTGTCTCCCCAAAGGCCCAGCCAGGGAGTACGCGCCCCCGGGCCCCAAAAGTGCGCGCAGGTGGGGATCAGCGCCCACCCTCCGCCCCGCCCTCCCACCAGGCAGGCTGCTGGGCCAGACTTGGCCGCGGGGAGGGGGCCCGAGAGAAAGGACCAAAGGGCCGGCTTCCAAGCAGCGGGCAGCGAAAGGCCCGGGAGGGGGGCGGGGGGGGCCTTCCCCAGGACCCCGAGCATCTGCAGCTCCGCCTCTGCCCGAGGGGTGCCCCCACAACAAGACCATCGCAGACAAAAGCGTCTGGGCGAAGGAGCCGCCTCTGCCAAGCACAGAAGCGCCAGATCCTATCAGCCAGGAGCCCGAACGCGCACTGCTGCCCGCAAGTTGGGGCACGCTGGAGCCGGGCGCGGGCAGCGGGAGAAGCCGCCGGCCGGGCGCGCCCTGGGAGGCTGGGCCGGGGGCGCGCCCCGGGGCTGGGGGGTCCGGCCCGGGGGTTCGGGGCTGGCTGCGGTCTCCTCGTCGCCGGTTCTGAGGCTGCTCCGAGGAAGGAGGCGGTATGTACGGTCAGGGACCTCCCCCGGCCCGGGCCCCCGAAGCCCCTCTCCACCGTGCCGGCGGCGTGCCGGGCGCCTGCGGCTCGCGGAACAAAAGAGCCGCTCCCGCCGAGGGTCTGGAGCCCGCGCAGACCGGCCGATGGCTCAGCCCCCGGAGCGCCCAAGCCCCCGCCGGACCCCACCAGGCTGCGTGCGGGCTTTGTGTCCGCGCAGGGGCGGGAAGGACGGCCGGACCCTGCCGATCCCAGACGGCGCCCGCGCTCCGGAGCTGCGGCCGGAGCGGGGCCGCCCCCCGCGGCGCCCGGCGCCCCGCGGGGCACCCATTCATTCTCCGGGGGCGGCAGAGCCCGCCCGGGCTCACCTTGCTCTTGACTTCCACCGCACTGCAGTCGTAGAAGCGCAGGGTCTGAGACTTGTGGAAACTCCGGTTCATGATTCCGGCCCTGCTCCGCCTCGTCTTCGCCCTCGCCCCGCGCCAGGGGCTCCGGAGAGACGCTGGGGGCGGCGCCCACCGCCGGGGCCTCGGTCCCAGCCCGCGCTCTCGGGCCGCGGGGCCGGTCGGACTGCGGCGGCGGCCCGAGCTGGGCTGGCCGGCCGCGCGCCTCGGGGACTTGGGCGGCCGCGCGCGGGAGGAGCGGAGGAGGCCGGCGCGCGCCGCCCGGAGCACCCGCACCCCGAGCACCCGCCGCCAGTCTCCACCCCGCGCCCCGAGGAACCGCCCCCTCCAGGAGCCACCCTGCCACTGAGAGCCCGCCCTAGGGCCCGCCCCCCAGTCCCCGCCCCGCGCCCCGAGGACCCGCCCTGGAGCCCTAAGGACCCTAGTGCACCCCAAACCCGGAGCACCCGCCCTGCGAGGAACGCCCCCGCCCCCCCGGAGGACCTCCCCCCGGGGGTCTGGGGGGCCCTTTTCCGAGTCCCACCCCGCACTCGCGGAGGACGGATCTCCCGAGGACCCGCCCCCAAGGCTGCTGATCTTGCATGGTGCGCCTTTCTCGGTGCGCGCAAAGCCAAACCCGGGCGAAGAAGCATCGCCTCACTCCCACCCCCACCTCGGGTGCCTCATTTCCACCTCTGCACTCCACCCCACCCCTACCCCGCGCTTTCTCTCTCCAGCTCACCCCGCTTCAACTGCCCTGCCCGGCAAGGGGGTGGCTTTGGACTGAGTTTTGTCATCATCGTCTTGGATGATAGGGGAACCACACAAGGCCATAGAGTATGAACATCACTCAACCCTTTCATACAGATGGCCAAATGGCATTAGCCAAAATTTGATTTTCATTTAATTTCACTGCATGTCCTGTTACTGCAGGATATGATCACAGAAGGACAGAATTACAGTCCTTGCCCATGAGAGAGAAACAGGCTGGCAGGGGGGCCAGGCGCTGGGAAGTAAGCAAGCCAACAAAAATGCCAAGGGAGTCCCACAGAAGCAGGGGGAAACTATTCCAAACAGAAGGTTGAGGATGTCCACTGGTCTGAAAGGTGGAAAGGAAGTGGTATATTAGTTTATTATCTACACAAAATTTAATAAATTCCAGATTTCCAAAAGATAGTATTGGGCGAGCTCAGAGAGAGCAGACCGTGCACAGAGGTGCTGACTTTCCCTCAAAGGACAATTTCCTAAGCTGAATACCAACCCAGAGAAGAGTCACAGGTTGCTGCTGATTGCAGACAGTGGACATTATGTTCTATTTGGGTAGGAGAGGCTCAGAGCATGCTCAGGTGAGACAAGGGGCTGGGGTGAGGGGGAAATTCTAGGGTGGGATGGCACCTACTAGCAAACTTGGGGCTTGAAGAACGGAGAAAAGGCTGGAAGTTCCAGAATTCCAAGCTTGATGGGATGAACGCATGTCTGTCATACCCGTGACACAGTGTGGTCCAAGGCCCAGCAGCCCCTGCTCCAGCAAGCACTGGAGAGGCATTCCCCACCCAGATCCACGGAAGTGGGCTCTGCTCTTGGAAGGGTTCTTGGGTGGCAGCTATTGGCCGCCTTGTCAGTTCTTGATTGGGAAAGCTGGCAGTTCCCATGTGAGCCTGAGTTTTCAGCCACAACTTGGCTAGGGCTTCCAGCCTATGGGTAGACAAGAACAGCTGAGCCTTCGGCTGGAAAGCTTCTTTTCTGATCCAGCAGCACTGTTGTAAATCTCTCCACAGGTTCTGGCCTGACACACAGCCGTGGGTCAGAGAAGACTGGAGGCCCATGGGTGGGCTCTCTCTAGCTGGCGGGTGGGCTCTCTCTAGCTGGCGGGTGGGCTCTCTCTAGCTGGCGGGTGGGCTCCAAATGGTGCAAACTTGCCCCAGTCACATGCTGATGGCCACTGTCAGTTATCGCTGAGCCAGCACCTCAGCAACGCATTCAGAGATTTCAGTGAAATTAAATGTTGAGACTCAGCAAAGGGGCCGGGAATCTGGCGAAGCCTTGTATTTCCACGATGGCCTGCAGGCAGCTCATGGAGGACCTGAGCCTAGATGACCTAGCTGACCTTGGACAATTCACTTAACTGACCTCAGATTTCGTTTGTGAAGTGGATGCTGCAGTGCTTCTCTGACCTGTCTCATGGCGACATCCTGGCAACCGAAAGACTCACCAGCTGAGGCCCCGCTTCGAAATCATTCAACTGCTCTGCCAGTACCACTTGTAGGAGGGGTGCTGGGCTTTCCCAGGGAGAGTGCCAGGAGTGGGCACCGTTCCCCTTGAGATGAACTAATACGCCAGCCGGAGGCATTCCTTCACTGAGGCTGGGGCTACAGATGAACACACTCACCCTTCTACAGGGCTCACTGCTGGCTTCAGGGAGGGGGCGGGGCCCAATCCTCCTCCAGAATGACCTATCCAGGATTGGTGCCCGAGCCCCTCGGGATCTAAAAGGAAACATGTTGTTGCCGAGACCGGTTTGGCTCAATGGATAGAGCGTCGGCTTGGGAACTGAAAGGTCCCGGGTTCGATTCCGGTCAAGGGCATGTACCTTGGTTGTGGGCATATCCCCAGTAGGGGGTGTGCAAGAGGCGGCTGGTCAATGACTCTCATCGATGTTTCTAGCTCTCTATCTCTCTTCCTTTTTCTCTGTACAAAATCAATAAAAAATATATTAAAAAAATAAAAAATAAAAAAAATAAAAGGAAACAGGTTGTAGACTCAGGAAAGTGTATTCCCCCAAAGCCCTAGGTTTTCCTTCCAGTTGTCAGTAGCTTAAATGGAAGCAACAGTCGTTTTTAAATTTCTAACTTTAAAGGTACATGGTGACTAAAGGCAATTTCATCAGAAAAAAAAAGGGGGGGTGGGTTTTAATGAAGAACAGATAAATTGTTTTTTAGATAATAGAGAGAAAAAAGGTCACCCTCGTGTGAGTTGCTGAATCAGCAGATCTTGTTGATGGAGAGGATATTGTGACGGGGAGGTGAGACCATGACAGAGAAGAGGCTGTGGTGGCGCGGAGACCACGGTGCGGAGGAGGCCTGACGGAAGAGCACCGTGGTGGGAGGAGCCAGGAGGCTGTGCCGGGGCTGGGGCGGGGAACAGATGGTGTGGAGAGGAGACTGACAGGGAGGAGGCTATGGAAGTGAGGAGAATGACAGAGAATAGACCATGGTGGGGAAGAAACTGTGACATGGAAAGATTAGTGGGAAAGAAACTGTGAGGAGAGGAGACAGTGACGGGGAGGAGGCTGTGAGGAGGCTGTGGTGGGAGGATAGGGGACCATGGAGACAGATGTGCATAGTACGTTCCCAGGCCCAAATATACTTAATACCTACTTCAGCAAGAAAGTTCAGCAGTATTTTTTTAAAAATGTATTTTATTGATTTTCCACGGAGAGGAAGAGAGAGGGATAGAAGAGATAGAAACATCGATGAGAGAGCATCATCGATCAGCTGCCTCCTGCACACCCCTACTGGGGATGTACCTGCAACCAAGGTACATGCCCTTGACTGGAATGGAACCCAGGACCTTCCTGTCCAAAGGCCGATGCTCTATCCATTGAGCCAAACCGGATTCAGCAGCAGTATTTTTTGTGTAGTGAACTTTTTACAAAATAATATTGGTGTGTGTGTGTGTGTGTGTTTGTTGTTTTTTTTTGTTTTTTTTTTGTGTGTGTGTTTAAGCATATATATATATATATATATATATATATATATATATATATATTATTGATTTTTCACAGAGAGGAAGGGAGAGAGATAAAGAGTTAGAAACATTGATCAGCTGCCTCCTGCACACACACACACCCCCACCAGGGACGTGCCCACAACCAAGGCACATGCCCCTGACTGGAATTGAATCTGGGACCCCCAAGTCCATAGATCGATACTCTATCCACTGAGCCAAACCGGGCAGGGCCAAAATAATATTGTTAATAATCTTACATATACACACAAATGGTGCTTTATTTTTAATGAGGAATGGGATATTTGCATAATCTCAAAGTACCTTCCCACATAGGTATTAACTACAAAGGGAAATGGTGTAATTTTACAGTGGGTAAGTCTGGCAGACACCATTTAATAAAATGAATGCCAGTAATGGGACAAGCCAAAAGTGTGTACCATCTGACTGCATGCAGCAGTGTATTAATAGTGAGAAAAGCTGTTGGGGGATTATAACATTACCAAATGTAGGTAGCATTTTTAAATAAACAGATTTCAAATAAAATTAACCATTCAAGCATTCTCTTCCTGATGGTCTCTCTTGCACATCATCTGTACTTATAGGCAGATGAACCTGCCTGTTGAGGAACATAGAGCGTGTAAAGAAAGTCTCTTAAGACTTTTATGCTAATCTCAGTAGTTTGAGTTATGCAGCCAAATGATCTGGATTGAGGCAGACTTCATATGACAAAGCAAAGATTGTTCTCGTTATCCTTGAAAGTATACTGTGTTTTATTCTTTTATATCTTCCTGTCTAATCTTTTTTTTATTTTTATTTTTTGCAGTCACTTTCAAAACCAGTGGGAGGGAGGGCACAATATGGATGCCAACTAATCTATCCTAATGCAGATCACTGCTAGTAAGCAGCTTCTAATTAACCACTCAGGAAGTGGCAAAGACCCATTCTCTTTTTTCTAGTGCATGGGAAATAGAGTGTATGATTATACAAGACCACTTCTTATGAAATAAGGAAGAACTCATCTCCCCGCCATTTTCTAAGTGGAAAAACAGGCAAAGAGGGACAAGAACTTGGCATAGATCCTCAGATGTGATAGAATAAGGTTAAGCAGTTCATATTCAGAACTTAAGTTTTGAGAAATTAGATTAAGTATATTGTTTAAAATTCAGATATTGTGGATATTTTGGTATATAGTGTACAGCTCTAAACATATATTTAAGAATTTATTTCTAAGCGGGACTCAGAAAGATAAGAACTTTTGATATGGTAATGTCCCCAGAATATCTAACTTTATTACTGAATAGATCCCATACTGAATTTACCAACCTTGTCATTTTAGTTTTTAAAATACTGAATTGATACCATGTTTAACATTTCTGTAGCAATACATCTATTTTTAGTATCTTTAATCATCAAATCCATTAACACAGAATGTTAGGTAGAAGCCAAAGAAAATTGGTAAGATATGGAGAGACTATGGCTAGAAAATTGTATAGTACTGGCTATCGATATGTGTACTCTGCTTGCTTCTCATTTAGTAATAAGCATATTGGACAAAGATGGCCTTTTATATCACCTGAGAATAAAAGAAAGTCAACAGTGAACTAGACAGTGACCAGGAAACAAGGCACCAAGAGTTCCTGGAGTAGCAACATGCAGCTCTCGTCTGAGGTTATTGTTTTCTAATAAGTTTTACAAGAGCACACATCTTAAAACTGGTCAGCAGGCCTTTGTTAATGCACTGAAGAGTCATATCACTAAAGGAGGGAGCTGTCATGGGAGGGGCTGAACTTGGGGCTTCCCCAGAGCATCAGCTGTGGTGCCCCTTCTTTTGTGTAAGTTGTCTTACTGGTGTACACATTCACTCGTTACGTGAAAAGCACTTACAAAATCTAGACAAATATAGTTTTTAAAAGTAACCAAAAATTGCCCTTGCTGGTTTGGCTCAGTGGATAGAGTGTCAGCCTAGAGACTGAAAGGTCTCAGGTTTGATTCTGGTCAAGGGCATGTACCACGGTTGCAGGTTCCTCCCTGGCTCAGGGGTGTGCAGGAGGCAACCAATCTGTGTTTCTTTTACATTGATATTTCTGTCTTTCCCTCTCTCTGAAAATCAATGGAAAAATATCATCAGGTGAAAATTAAAAAAATAATAATCTATGTATATAAAAGCCTAAGTAGCCATTAGACCGAACTACTGGAATAACCAGTCATCAGTCACTATGATGCACACTGATCACCAGGGGGAAGACACTCAATGCAGGAGCTGCCCCCTGGTGGCCACTGCACTCCCACAGCCAACCTCCCATGATCTGCCAACCTCACCCAACATGTGCATGAATTCATGCACCAGGTCTCTAGTAAAATGAATAAAAGTAACCAAATACTATCTTCCCTGAAAGATGCATAATTTCTCTAAAATGATCTCAGGTATTTCCTGTTGTTTTCAGAAGTCATCTTCCACAAGACAGCAGCAAACCTTGCATGAAGCTCCTGTCTTTTTTAGGACTAAAGATGCTTTTCTTGTAATGATAAGACCTTATCTCTAAATCTACCTGAAAGCCCCTTCCAGCATTCTCAGGAAAACTTTAAGAAAAACTATCCAATCCAGTAAAGCCTGGTGTTATTCATTGCTATTATTACTCAATTTTCGCCGTCAGGGTGGCTGAGTTGGTTAGAGCATCATCACCATGATACACCAAGATTGCTGGTTTGCTCCCTAATGAGGGCACATAAAAGAATCAACCAATTTCTGAAACTGCTTTGGCTCAGTGGATAGAGCATCAGCCTGCAGACTGAAAGGTCCCAGGTTTGATTCTGACCAAAGGCATGCACCTTGGTTGTGGGCACATCCCCAGTAGGGGGTGTGCAAGAGGCAGGTGATCGATGATTCCCTCTCATCGATGTTTCTCTCTATCCCTCTATGTAAAAAATCAATAAAAATATTTTTTAAAAGAATCAACCAATGAATGTATAAATAAGTGGATCAATAATCCACTTGTTTCTCTAAAATCAATAAATTAAAAATGTTTTTATTTAATATTCTCACTCACTTTCACATAAATTTAACATTAAAATTTCCACATTGTGGATTGTAAACTGCAAAAAACTATGTTCTGTAAAGATATTCATGACAACTAAATTTGAATTTTTATTTGAAGGTATGACCACACAATCTTAGTTCATGCACAGTAAAACATGTCTATATGGTTGCTAAAATTGGTTTACAATTTAAATATTAATAAAATTTTAAATTTTTATTGGAAAGCTTTCCTTCTTTTACTTTTTTTTTGTTTAAAAATAAACAACTGCCTTGCCTGTGTGGCTCATTGGTTGAGCACCAACCCATGAACCAGGAGGTCATGATTCAATTCCCAGTCTAACATATGCCTACATTGCGGGCTCTCTCCTGTGTGGGACATGCAGGAAGCAGCCAATGATTCTCTCTCAACATTGATGTTCCTATCTCTCTCTCCCTTCCTTTCTGAAATCAATAAAAAAAATATATTTAAAAATAAAAATAATCATAGCCCTAGCTGGGTGGCTCAGCAGGTTAGAGCATCATCCTGATACACCAGGGTTGCAGATTTAATACCGGGTCAGGGCACATACAAGAGGTTTCTCTTTTTATTTCTCTCCCTTTCTTTCTCTTTCTCCCAAAAATAAATAAACGAACGATCATATTGCTCATTTTATGAGTGGATAAAGTGGTTGGGGAAGCACCTTCTTTAAAAAGTTGTGGAAAACTAACCTTAGCTACTATTTAGCAGCATGCATTATATATTTTTCCTCTCAAAATGTGTAACTAGATCATTTGTACGATTTGTACGATAGTATTTGTTTTCAAACTGACAATATGGTGGATTTAGAGATCCCTAGCAATACAACAGATTTTGGCCATGTATGCTTACCTGCCTGCTCACATCTATCCTGGTCCCTGCCTGCCTTCCTCAAGACTTTTGCCTTGTGGTCTACGTTACAGAAGACACTGAAGGTGGCACCCTGCACCTTTGTGGGAGTCACACTGATCTTTGTCTGGGGCCCTCTGACTTACTATTAACAAGTGAACTGATGTGGTTTTTTATTTACTAAAAAATAGTATCAAATAAAGGTAAATTAATTCAGAGAAGCGAAAATAGTATGCTACATTTAACTGAATAGACTTTAAATATGTAAAGCTGATGTACCCTGGCTGGTATTGCTAAGTGATTAGAGCGTCAGCCCAAGTACCAAGAATTAAACAATTCTATTTGTAGTGATATAACAAATTTTAATTCAAAATAGACACTCTGAAAACAACAGGGTAAAAAAAAAATAAACTTCAACAAGCTCTTTTTGAATTTACAACAGAGTACACCAACAATCACAGACCAGTTTCACAATTGCCCCAAAAATACACATTATAGCAATTACATGCAAGTATTATATTTAAAATCCATATAGTAACATTATCTTATTTTCCAGAGACTGTCAGATCCTCTGAATACATTAGACAGGTCCCTCTGCTGTGTGTCACCAGCAAAAAATATGACTTAACATCTATCCTGGTTAGTCTCCATTACTGGTTCCGGTGCTTTAAGTTCTTTTATACCGTTATGTGAAAAGAAAAGAAAAAAAAAACACACCCCGAGGTGTAACTGTCCAGGGAACAGTAAAAGAATGGGAGTTCATTCCCACTACCAATCCCATTAGTCAGACATTGGGCTATGGAACATCCATTTCCCTAGTATGAATATGCTGACTTCTGGGAAACTGTCAAAAATTAATGGCCCAACCATGGAACTTGACCCACCATAGAGCTCTTAGGTCTACTGATTTTCCCTTGTCCCTGAAAACTTGTTTATATTTCAGTATCCACACTCAGGGGTAAAAATCTTATTCCTGAGTAACATGGTCCTTCCCTTTCACTGGTTTGTGAACAGTTAGATTAGTAGGAGAGTCTGTGTGTATTTTCAATGTTTATTCTAAAGGCACTAAAGATTTATTGTCTTACCTTTGAATGGAAATATGACTTATCACCATATCAAAAAGAGGGGAGAAGTCTACACTGAAAAGAATTATTTGTAATATAACTCTTATGAGCTATAATACCAGACTTCAGGTTCATTATATTTTTTTAACAAACAAAAACATTTGGTTTTCTATGAGTTATAAAAAAAAAAATGGCTAAGACAAACCTTAAAAAAGTTAAATGAAAACTAATCTAATAAGCAAATATCTTACAAAAATAAAACAGCATAGTGAACGCCATGCACCCTTAGCAGCTGCACATAACACAAAGGTTCGTGCTTACTTCTCTACACATTTACTGCATCATTTGCAGCTATGTGTAAAGCTGAGGGAGATCAAAGATTTGCAGTTAATTAATAATCTGAAATAAGCTGAAATTTCCTTAAGTGAAAAAACAAACAAATGTGGATTTCAGTTTTTATCATACAATCCTGACACTACTGGAAAAACAAGGTGTGCACAAAATATCGAAAGATTTAATTTACTCAACAGAGGAAAAAAAACACTAAAAAATGTGACAAAATCCAACTGCAGAGAATTATAAAAGAACTATCATTTCTTCATACAAAGTCTTGCTGAGCACCTGAAATACCTCTAAAGAGCAGCATAAAGACCACTGAAATTGATTAGTTCAACATACAGTGAAAAAAATAACGTTTTTAAAAATCTCAATTAAAAAAACTAATTTCCTAATTTTTTACAAGTTTTGTGGTTCATACTCAAAGTTCAATCTATGTTTAACATTTTTAAGTTCAGACATATCAAAGCCTAAAAGGACAGAAGGCTTATGACTTTTTATTGCTTTCATGCAAATGTATCTTCTTTTTCCAAAAAACGAAGCCACATCAATTTTCCACACCCACAAGAGTGAGGACAGCAGCTCTACTTCCTTTTTACTAGGATATGGTCTCTTGTGGAAATAATCTTTAAGAAACTGCTTTTTTTCTTCATAAGAACGGTCTTCATATTTTTTGGGATTTAATGCTAAAATTTGAAGAGCGTCATCATTAACAACAAGTGGTCCCTCCGTCCTGCTTTCATTTCTTTGTCTTTTAAGAGGAACGACACTCGTTACCTTCTCTGGAGCTGGGGACACATCGGTGTTTATGGCCAGAAGTTGTTGTTCCCCTTCCTGCTGGTCTTCTGCCCCAAAGTGGCCATCAGGCAGCTTTCTCTTTACAGAAAAGCTGGAGTCGTGCAGCATCTCATCATTGACTAGCAGCAGCTCGCTGTTCTCAATGAAATTCGGTTGGACTTGCAGGTCTGAGCTGCTGTCCTTTGGAGCACTTCTGCAGCGCAGGAGGTGGATGGCAATGGCCGCCAGGGTCATGTTTCCAGTGTAAACCCCACAGCAGTGGATGCACTTGAAAGCTGGAGATTTCAAGATTGTGTGGACTGTTGGCATGATGTGGTGCCTGTCCTTCAAATGGAGCTCATAGGCCTCGGTTGTCACAAAGGTGCCAAAGCAAAAGGGGCAGGTCAATGCCTGTTTGCTGGGTGCACCCTCGGTCTGAGGCCTCACTTTAATATACACGGGTACGAGTGACTTGGAGTGTATCCCAGCCAGTATTGCCAAGTAGACTTCCCGCCCCCCCAACTCTTCCTTTGGCAGCATGGTAATGAAATCAAGATGGGGAAACAGCAGGTTGCCATTGGCATCAATATCCAGTTGGAAACCTTTGTTACTATAATCCACAGGTACCTTCTTCTTCCCCAGGTGCATGGTCCTACTGTGCTCTGAAAGATCTTTAATGCCGTGGAAAGTGCGTGGGCAGAACAGGCACCCCAGGCCATGCTTCAGTAGGTGATGGATGAGCTCTTCCTCCGATATTAAGCATTTACAAGAGAGACACCGAACTGTCTTCTCTCTCATCCACTTTAAAAATGGTGCACATGCAGCCAGTTTTTCTGGCTCCCGTTTTTCAGCAGATTTGGATTCGCTGTGCTTATGAGCCACTTCCATATGGACCTGGTAGACGTTAGAAGGGAAGAGCTCATTGCAAACTGGACAGGTTTTCCACTGCTTCGCCTGTTTGAGCACTGGGCTCAGCTCTGCTGCAGAGGAAGAGGGCTGAATGAACACATTTGGAGCTGCATTCACCACCACTGAGGGAGAGGGCATGCCAGCCATCGGACTGGCCATCTGTGCAGTTGTGCCAGACGGCAGGAGCTGGATGGGCACCTGGGGTGGGGCGACACCTGCAACACCTCCAGGTGGTGCAGGCAAAGTGACAGATACCGGAGCAAGTGTATATGTGGGAATCCCATTCACCTGCTTCCCTGTAGGTATCAGCTGCCTTAGAATGGAGCCTGATGTCAAGAAAGTTGTGTTTTGTGGAGCACCAGGTCTAACTGGCTGATTGGCAGGCAGAATGTTGGTATTCACAGACTGATTAAGGTGCACGACCCCAGGCCTCACTGGCTGGCTCACAGGAAGAACTCCTGACATGACTGGCTGACCAAGATGCAGCACACCAGAGTTCACACCCTGGTTCCCAGGGAGAATGCTTGACGAGACTGTTTGGTTGGGAGAAAGGAGCCCAGGTGGAACCACCTGACCTGCAGGGAGAACACGCAGGGGGACCGTCTGGCCAGGAGGGAGCGCCCGTGATGGAACTGTCAGCCCAGGGGGAAGAACCCCGGACGGAGCTGTCTGGCCAATGGGGAGAACCCCAGATTGGACCATCTGGCCAGCAGGGAGAACCCCAGAAGTTGCTGTCTGTCCTGAAGGGATAACCCCAGCCGGGGTCATTTGGCCTGCAGGAAGGACACCTGATGGGACAGTCCGATTTACAGAAATCACCCCTGGAGAGACTGCCTGAAGAACCCCAGGGGTGACAGAGGGACTGACAGGAAGGACAGTGGACCCAACAGATCTATTTACTGGAAGAACCCCAGAACCAACTGGTTGGCTTACAGGCCCAACAGGCTGGTTAAGGGGTAAAACCCCTGGGCAGATGGTCTGGTTTATGGGGAAGATACCTGTTCCAGCAGACTTACTGACAGGTCTAACCGGCTGACTCAAGGGCAACACAGGAGGATTTGCTGACTGATGTAGTGGGACTCCGTGAGAAAGGAAGACAGGCTGCGGCCCTGAGGGTGGCACAGCAAGACTGCTCTGGCCCCCAGGCAGGGGACTGGAGATGAGAGTCACATGGGACTGGGCAGTGGCAGGCGGAGAATGGGTGAGGCTTCCAGAAGCACCTGAGGCCACAGTCACTGGCTGGACTGAGCCCTGAACTGGCTGGACAACAGTCTGGTTTTGACTATTTGGCGGTAAGGCGAGGTGAAAGCAAGATGTGGCAGGGACACCCGGAGTGCTTCTGCTCGGTGGTATGGTCACGTGTTCAGCTGGTTTGGGAGCGATATGCATTTGCTTCAAAAGTCCAGTCTTCCTAATATGTTCTGAAATCACGGACCTAAGCTTATTCTCCAAATCCCTGTGTACATCCGACGTCAAAATATGATACATTAATGCATCCTGACTGCTGGCATTGGCGTTGCACTTTTTACAGTAATACTTGTCAGAGGGTGGCATCTTCTCTGTAGAAGGGGGATCATCTGTTTTGGATTGCTCAACCATTTCCTCAGTTCGTAGACCAAAGTAGGAGTTAATTAAGTGGTGAAAATGGGCTACCAGCACATGCTTTTTCATGCTGTAGTACAAAGTGTTTGAAAAGTTACATTTTAAACACGTAAAACTGATGACATCACTCCTGGACGACTTAGCCTCACCTAAGATGTTCACTGTGTAGTTCTGCACTTTCCGAACAGGTGCATGGAACATTTTGAAGTGCCGTCCCACCACTTTGGGCTGAGAGGTAAATACACAGTTTGGGCAAGGGATCACCAGCTCTTGGTCAATTTCATCTTCGTGGTAACGATGCAAATGATTTTTGAATGAAGTAAGCACTTTTGTAGAGTATTTGCAGAGGCCACAACAGTATGGCTTTGTTCGGTATCTCTGTTAAAAGAAAAAGTCCAGCATCATTTAATAAAGCTATTATATGTGAGAATCACCTATAGTTCACAAGTATATGACTCTTTTTTAACATGCTAGATAATTTAACTCTATCACTCCTCAGAGAACAATGTGTTTTCAAATATACATACATACATATACACATATATAATACACACACACACATATATACACACACACACACACATATATATACACACACACACACATAAAAATTTTTAATTGACTTTAGAGAGGAAGGGGGAGAGAGAGAGAGACATATCAATGATGAGAATCATTCATTGATCAGCTGCTTCCTGCACACCCCCTACCAGAGATCAAGTCCACATTCTGGGCATGAGCCCTGACCAGGAATCAAACCAGTAACTTCCTAGTTTATAGGTTGACACCCAATCACTGAGCCATAGCAACTGGGCAAGAACAATGTGTTTTAAGCCAGGGCAAGATTTTCCTTAAAGGGCCAGAGAATAAGTATTTTTTTAGGCTTTGTGGGCCCCCCAAAAGCTTCAGTGTCACTCACTCAGTGCTGCTTGGTAAGACAAAAGCACCCACAGCTGGGGCAGGGAGTGAGGAAGGGCTAGATAGGGTCAAAAAGGAGACACATTGCAATAATTTCAACAATAAAGATTTAATTAAAAAATATAGCTCAAAGGAAAAAAAAGCACCCATAGGTGACATGAATATCCATGAACATGGCTTTGTGCCAATAAAACTACAAACATCATTCAAATTTCATTATCAATTTCACATCACAAAACAATATTCATTTTTTCCTTCTCAAACATTTAAAAATGTAACAACTATTCTTAGCCCACAGTTCATACAAACATATGACGTGCCTAGTTTCCAAACAATCCACTAAAACCACAGATCTCATTACTTAGTCCTTATACTTTGAATTAACTGCTTCATCCTTTCTCCAATGTTGTTTTTATTCCAAATTCTAAAGCCTCTGCAACTTATCTACAAATAACCTAACTTGCAAATTATAAAACCCATCATTACTATCTTTTATTTCCTATTTCTATTCTTGGGGAAGGTAAGAGTCACATTGACAGTGCTCAGCAAGTATTAATATAAGTGTCCAATAAACTATGTAACAAATAGTAAATAAAGAGGGACTATGCCAAAGTCACCACAAATAACCATGAGGTAAGTTTCAAGCCACAGAATATATTGCTGATTATATGGAATTTCTCTTTAAGGCACATGATGGGGGATTCAACAAGCTCAGGGCATAAGAACATATACTTGAATCACCCTGGCCAACAGAGGAATGCAATGCAATAAACTGTTCGTCTGTGATGATATGAGAGCAGTTCACCCCCTGGTCTCAAGAATCTCTAGACCTTGGAGATGTGAATCACAGAACACCTGGCTCTCATTCCACAAAGGAGGAGGGTGAGACCTGAACAGACTGAATGCTTCACTGAGGTCCCACCATGGGCTGTGCAGATACTGTTCCATGTGGGGACACTGATCCTTGCTACACAGTGGCCACAGTTCAGACCCATCCTTCCTAGATCTGCTCTCGTGAGCAATCTTTCTCATAACACACAGGTGCCCCCATTCTGTGACCGTCTCTCTCCTACTCATGTGCTTGCTCCTCTTGGGTCACAGGTCAGAGAAATCACCAAACACACCCAACAACATTTTGCTACTTCTCTGCAATTAGCGAAACCCCAGGTAGGAACTATAATAAACCCAGGGCTGAAAAACCGCATATATCTCTGAAATCTGGGAATACTTTACAACTGATGTCACTTAAACACACAGTTTAAGTGGAGTATGACTTTAGTTTTATTAAAGGTTCATTAAAAAGGGTGTCGGGGTGGGGAGTGGGGGATTGGAATGGAGGGTTAAGGACAAATATGTGATACCTTAATCAATAAAGAAATAAAAAAAAAAAAGGTGTCTTATAGTCAATGAAATACTCTATTGAAAAACAAGATACTCAGCAAAAATTACACTTAATGAAAGAATCAACAAAACTCATTAACAACTGTAAGTTATTATCTAGTAATGTGGAATAGGTCTCTGGGTAGGGAGAAAACGTCTTAACTGTGACACCAGAAATATTCACAAAAGAAAAAAATAATAAACTAGACTTCATCAAAGTAAGCAAGCTCTGTTCTTTGAAACTGTTTTAAAAAAAGAAAAGAGAAACCATAGGCTGCGAGTCAGTATTTGCAAGCCACACATCTCACCTCCTCCCATTTGTTCATTAGTAACCCCAGTACAAGTGGCATACATCCCTCAGAAGTGAACCAACCTTTACCCTCAACTTTTGAGGAAGCATGAAAATCAAATACAAAAATACATACCACTTTCTTTCCAGAAGGTTCCCAGAGAGAAATATCTCCCCATGACGTATTATAAAAGTACTTCTCTCCTGGATCAAAGTCTTTAAGGTCCTTTCAAAATGGGAGAAAAAGAGAAAAATTATGCAATTTCAGCAGATAAAGAAATATTTCATTAGAACCTGGTGGGATTACTTGGTACCTAAGAAATCTACATGGGAAAGTAAAGTGAAAATGCAGATCCTGAGCAAACTATGACAGAGCCATTAAATATAAACTGAGTAGCCAGATTATTATGATCTCTGAAAGCATAATAATCTGGGCACTCAGTGTATATCCTATATAATAAAAGGCTAATATGCAAATTGTCCCCTCTACCAGGAATTTGACCAGCAGGCAGGCTGGCCAACAGCTCATGTCCCCTCCCCATGGCCAGGCTGGCCAGACCCCACCCATGCACGAATTCATGCACCCAGTCTCTAATAAATATATATATATATATATATATATATATATATATATATATATATATATATACACACACATACATATACATACACTGATTGGCCAGATTATTACGCGTTCAGAGATCATAATAATCTGGCCACTCAGTGTATAAAACCCAAGGAACAGGCTGAAATAATCCAAGTTAAAATTATAGCTTCATAGGAAATATATTTCCCACAAATAATTTTTAAAAGAAAAAAAAAATCAGCACACACCACCTCGCATCAGTGGTGAGTACTTTGGGAAAGAATTTCAGGGTGCTAAGAGTATAAAGTGGGAGCTTTGAGTGTGTGCAAACCAAGGGCACCAGGTGTCGGCCACAAAGAGGGCAGACCATGTAGACCAGGGGGTGTCGAACATGGCAGCAGGGGAGGAGATGGAAGGAGATGGTGTCATTGAGAACCTAGCAACCAGATCTGATGGGAGTCCAGACTGAATCCTGGTTCAAACAAACCAAGTGTAAAAAATTTCGGAAAAAACTGGAGAAATCTGAACATAAACTGGGTAATAGGTAAGACAATTATTTAATGACACAGAAAGTTGAAAGTCACAGAAAAAGCAAAGTAATAAAAAAGGATAGTCAATATAAGCTTAAATTGGTAAAGACTGCATACACACACACTAAGACGTTAATAATGGTAATCTCTGAATGGTAGAAACATGGCATTTAAAATTTTATTTTCTAAAAAAAATAATTTTCTGTATTTTCTCTTTCACAGTTTATATCACTGTCCTTGTAATAAATTTAATTTTAATCCTCACTTGAGGATATTTTTTAAATTGATTACCCAACATTCAGAATTGAAGGGCAGATAAAGAGCTTCAAAGATAAGAAAAAGCTAAAGGAATTCATCACACCAAACCAGTATTATATGAAATGCTGAAAGGTATTCTTTAAGAAGAGAAAGGGGAAGAAAAAAAAAAGTAATGATAAAAATTATGATCAAAACGCCAAAATCAGTTTGTCTCAGTGGATAGAGCATCAATCTGCAGACTGAAAGGTCCCAGGTTCTATTCTGGTCGGGGGCATGTACATTGGTTGTGGACACATCCTTGGTAGGGGGTGTGCAGAAGGCAGCTGGACGATGTTTCTCTCTCATCAATGTTTCTAGCTCTCTATCCCTCTCCCTTCCTATTTGTAAAAAATAAACTATATTTTTAAAAAATTATGATCAACAAATACATATATATCAACAAATGAATCTATAAATTCAAGTAAATAAAAAATCCAAGGAACAGAATAAATTGGTAAATATAATAGAATCAGGGGCAAAGAAAGGGAATGGATTGATAACTATCAGGGGGAAAGGGGTGCGGGGGTGCAGGAAGAGACTGGATTAAAATCGTACACCTATGGATGACGACAATGGAGGGGGAGGTAAGGGCAGAGGATGGGTGGGAACCAGGTGGAAGAGAGATATGGGGGGGGGGGGAGAAACAATTGTAATAATTTGAGCAATAAAGATTTATTAAATTTGAAGAAAAAAAAAACTGCAATCTTTTGGTGTACAGGACAATGCTCCAACCAACTGAGCCACCTGGCTAGGGGCAAAGGTCTTTTTAATATATTAACAAATATTAGTTAAGCAAAAGAAAGATAACTAATATAATAACTGCTGTTTCTGAATATACCTGTGCTAACACATTGCTTACCAAGTCAATTCAGAACTACAGAAAAGTACACATTATTACAAGTATATAAGTTGGAAATAGTATATTGTGAGGTTTGCAACATCCAGAAATAAGACACATGACAATAGCACCAAGGCTGGAAGGGGAGGAAAAGCACACGCTGTAAAGTTCTTATATCACATGTGAAGCAAACAGTATTATATTAGAAAGGCAAATGAAAGCACAGAGCTATTGAATCAAAAATGGAGGTGAAAATGGAATTATAAAAAATATTCAATCTAAAAGAAAGCAGAAAAAGAAAAAAGAAACAAAGAACAGAGAGATAAGTAAAAATAAATAGCAAGATGGGAGATTTGAACCCAATCCTATTGATAATTACATTAAGTAGCAGGGGCTGTGTTAAACCATTTCTTTAAAGGAACAGATAACATTAAATCTTTACCAGCTATACAGTCTCTGACATAAGCACTCAATCCACCATTGTGCACAAAAGCAGCCAGAGACAATATAGAAATACTGTCAAGGATGGCTATTTTCCACAAAGTTTATTTACAAAACAGCCAAATAATTTGGGGCCAAAATTGGCTACCCTAGTTTGAAATACTCAAATTAAGAGACACAGACTATCACACTGAATATAAAAACAAGGTCCAACCCTATGCTATCTATAAAAATCTCACTTTAAATACTAAAGTCACGGGGAGGTGGCGAAGATTGGTATGGTATGTACACATATAATATCTTAATAAAAAAAATAAAAATAAATAAAAATAAATAAATAATAAAGACAGAATAAAAGTAAAAAGATTTAAAAAGGTATATCATGCTACTATTAATCAAAAGAGGCTGAAGGAGCTACATTGATTTCAAACAAAGCAGATTTCAGCACAGGAAAAAGAATGTTAACAAGGCATGTGCCCTAGCCAGTTTGGCTCAGTGGATAGTGTCGGTTTGTGGACTGAGGTGTCCTGAGTTTGATTCCGGTCAAGGACACATGCCTGGGTTGTGGGCCTGATCCCCAGTGGGGGCCATGCAGGAGGCAACTGATAAATCACTCTCATCACTGATGTTTCTATCTCTTTCTCCCTCTCCCTTCCTCTCTGAAATCAATTTTAAAAAATGGATAGAAAGTCTAGTCTTCAAAAGAACCCAACAATTCTAAATGTGTATGCACTTAAAAGAACTTCAAAGTATATGAAGCAAAATTGATTGACCTGAAAAGAGAAAAAATTAAATCCAAAATTACAGCTGGAGACTTCAGGAAAGACAGAGATCAACCCTGAGCACCTAGGGGTGGCGCTCAGAACAAAGCTGGCGTTGGAAATGCGTTGCAACCTCTCGCTGGTTCTTGGGAGTGGGGGTGACGAGGATGGAGGTGCAGTAAGAATACTGAACGCCACTAACAACTTCACAAAATGACATTTATAGAACTCTCCACCAACAGCAAAATGCAATTCTTTTCAAATGACATTTATAGAACTCTCCACCAACAGCAAAATGCAATTCTTTTCAAATACGCATGATACATTTCCAAAAACAGGACTCATGATGAGCTATAAAATATTTAAAAGGACTGAAATAATTATAAAGTATAATCTCTGACCAGAGAAAAGTTAAATAAATCTTTAACAAAAAGAATTCTAGTCCAGCTAGCGTGGCTTAGTGGTTGAGCGTTGACCCATGAACCAGGAGATCATAGTTCCTATCCCTCTGTCCCTCTTCCTTCCTCTTTAAAATCAATAAAAACATTTTTTAAAAATGGTATCGAGAGAAAACCCAAAATTTCTAGAAATTAAACACATTTCTAAATAATCCATGAATCAAAGAAGAAATCACAAGGGAAATTAGAAAATATTTTAAACTGAATGAAAAGGAAAACAATGAATCAGTTGTATAGGATGGAGTTAAAAAGTGCTTCAGGAGAATTTGTGGCATTTCGGAGACTGGGAATCTAGCTATGACGTGCACTGACCACCAGGGGTGGAGCGGAACACCTCGGGCATCGGAGATCCTCTACAACCTCTCTCCAGTTACCTGGGGGTGGAGGTGACGGGTTGTCTGCTGAGCTCACTCTCACTCCCCCTGCTACCCTTCCCCAGGACAACAGCTCAGCCTGCCCGCAGCTGCACAGCATCTTCTGGGTGAGCAGGGCCACAGCTGCCAGAACTGCAAGGGCCGGTTGGGCTCCCCATAGGTTTGCGAAGGAGCCGATCTGTGAGGCCACCTGGGAGAGAGCACGTTGCCTGCCGGCTTCAGGGCAGCACCACTAGGCAGCCCAGAGGCCCAGGCTGTGCCCTGGCCTGCAGCATCCTGCTGCACTCACTGCATTTCTGCATGAGGACTCAGGCACTGTGACTCAGGTGAAGGGGGCCATTCGAGGGCCTGGAGACCCAGGTGCTGCCCAGATCAAAAATATTGTTTTTGATCTGCAGCAGGTTAATCTGTATATGTGAAACCAAAAGGGCTGACTATATATTTATTGGAAAAAACTGTGTACCAGTGGACCCGTGAAGTTCAAATCCCTGTTGTTCAAGGGTCAACAGTATTTTAAAACTAATGACTATATATAGCTTACATATTCAGTGTCTGAACGCTTTTATGCTTTATTTCTGGTATCTGAAAATGTCCTTTGTATACAGTTAATGCGGGTACAATGTTCAAAGTAAAACTAATAAAGCAAATTAAAAATGCAAGTGCCTTGGCTGGTGTGGCTGTGAATAGGCAACCACTACACTGAAAAGACATGGATTCAAATCCTGGGCTGCAGGTTTGATCCCCACCTCTCATACCCATGTCTGTCAGTCTGTTTGTCAGTCTCGCTCTCTTTCCCCAACCCTCCCACTCTCTCTAAAAATTAATGGAGAAAATATATCCTTGGGTGAGACTTAACAACAACAACAACAAAAAAGTACACAAAACTTGAAATTAAAAAAACAAAACTTAATGACCATAAAAAGCCCTTCATAAAAGTCACTTTAAAAACTTGTCAGCTGCCCTAGCTGGTTTGGCTCAGTGATAGAAGTGTCCAGCTGTGGAATGAAAGGTCCTGGGTTCAATTTCAGTCAAGGGTACATGCCTGGGTTGCTGGCTCCATTCCCAGTAGGGGGTGCAGGAGGCAGCAATCAATGATTCTCTCTCATCACTGATGTTTCTCTCTCTCCCTTCCTCTCTAAAACCAATAAAAACAAACTTGTCTGCTCTTAATCTATTACTGATATCCTCTTACCTTCAGCAATTCTTTGCAGCTGTCAAGCCCAATATCCACAAGAATTCCTTTCACCTTTTTTCGTACCTTCCTGATGTTGTCAAGATTTTCCACAGGAATTTGAAACATTTTTGGAATTTTCCTTAGAAAGAAAGAAAAGGAAGCTGTAATAAGTAACAGGATTTTTTAAACACTGAGAGTAATTTTCAACAAATCATGCTGGGACAACTAATTATCCACATGCAAAAGATTGAAGTTGCACTTGAAAAAAAATTTTTAAATATATTTTTATTGATTTCAAAAAAGGAGATGGATAGGTAGAAACACCAATGATACAAGAAAATCACTGATAGGCTGCCTCCTGCATGCCCCTACTGGGGATCAAGTCCACAACCAAAGCATGTACCCTTGACCAGAACTGAACCCGGACCCTTCAGTCTGCAGGCTGATGCTCTATCCACTGACCCAAACTGGCTAGGGCTAAAGTTGCACTTTTTGCTCACACCATACAAAAAAAAATCAACTCAAAATGGGTCCTACACCTCCATCTAAGAGCTAAAATTTTTTAAACTGTCAGAAATAAACAAGCAGAAATCTTCATGACCTTGAATTTGGCAATGGATTCTTAGATATGACACCAAAAAGCAACAGAAGAAAAACTAGGTAAGTTGGACTTCATGAAAATTAAAACTTTGGTGCTTCAGCCTGTCAGTAAGGCTCCATTGTTGAGTGTCAACTTATGAAGCAGGAGGTCATGGTTAGATTCCCAGTCAAGACACATGCCTAGGTTCAGGCTTGGTCCCCCAGTAGGGGGCATGCAGGAGGCAGCCAATCAATGATTCTCTTATCATTGATGTTTTTATCTCTCTCTCCCTTTCTCTTCTAAAATCAATTTTAAAAATATAAATAAATAAAACAATTTTGTGCTTCAAAGGAAAACATACAAAAGCAAAAAGCAAAGTCACAAGCCCTAACCGGTTTGGCTCAGTGGATAGAGTGTCAGCCTGCAGATTCAAGGGTCCTGGGTTTGATTCCAGTCAAGGGCATGTACCTCGGTTTTGGGCACATCCCCAGTGTGTGTGTGTGTGTATGTAAGGGGAGGGGGAAGAGGGTGTGTGTGTGGAGGAGGCAGCTGATTGATGTTTCTCTCTCATCAATGTTTCTAACTCTCTCCCTCTCCCTTCCTCTCTATAAAAACATCAATAAAATGTATTTTTTTAAAGAAATTCCACAAAATGGGAAAAATTTTTACAAATTGTATTTCTGATAAGAAAGTTATACCCAGACTGTAAAAAGAACTCTGATAACTCAATAATTAAACCAATATCCAAACTTAAAATGGGCAAAGGATCTAAAGAAGTAACTTGCCGAAACCGGTTTGGCTCAGTGGATTGAGCCTGTGGGCATGTACCTTGGTTGTGGGCACATCCCCAGTGGGCAGTGTGCAAGAGGTAGCTGGTCGATGTTTCTCTCTCATCGACATTTCTAACTCTCTGTCCCTCTCAATTCCTCTCTGTGTAAAATCAATAAAATATATTTAAAAAATAAATAAATAAATATTGAATTAAAAAAAATAAAGAAGTAGCTACTATACAAATGGCCATTAAGCACATACAAGATGCTAAACAGACATGTGGAAATGCAAATGGAACCACAATGAGATACTTCTTTATACCTTATTAGGATGGCTGTAATTTTGAATAAAGAAAAGAACAAGTGTTGGCAAGCATGTAGGGAAATGATTTCTCCTACATCACTGGCAATAAAATGGTACAGCCAGTTTGGAGGACAGTCTGGCAGTTCCTCAAAGGATTAAATACACAAGCACCATATGGGCCAGCAATTCCACCAAAGAGAAATGAAAACATGCATCCAAACAAAAACTGCAAGAATGTTCACAGTAACACTATTCTTTTTTTTTTTTACAACTTTTTTTTATTGTCTAAAATTTTACATGTTTCTTTTTTCCCCAACTGACACCCCCCCCCCAGCCATTCCCACCCCAGGCAAGCCCCCACTGCCCCAGTGTTTGTGTCCATTGGTTATGTTAATATGCATAAAAGTCCTTTGGTTGCTTTCTAACCCTCCTCCCCTACCATTTGTCTCTAGATTGATCTATTCTTGTTTATCAAACTACATTGATCATTATATCCCACATATGAGTGAGATCATGTGATATTTATCTTTCTCTGACTGGCTTATTTCGTTAGCATAAAGCTCTCCAGTTCCATCCATGTTGTTGCAAATGGTAAAAGTACCTTCTTTTTTATAGTGGCATAGTATTCCATTACGTAGATGTACCAGTTTTTTAATCCACTCATCTGCTGATGGACACTTAGGGTGTTTCCAAATTTTAGCTATGGTTGATTGTGCTGCTATGAACATAGGGGTGAATATATTGTTTCTGATTAGTGTTTCTGGTTTTTTGGGATACAGTCCTGGAAGTGGAATTACTGGGTCAAATGGGAGTTCCATTTTTAACTTTTTGAAGAAACTCCACATTGGCTGCACCAGTCTGCATTCCCACCATCAGAATAGCACTATTCTTAATAGCCAAAAAGTAGAAATAATCCATAAATCCATCAACTGGTGAACAGATTAAAAAAAAAAAAAAAAAAAAGCGGGGGGGGGGGGGTGCATTCATAAAATGGAATATTATTTGGCCCTAAAAAGAAATGAAGTGCTGAAACCGGTTTTTATTAAGTATTTTATTAAATACTTAATAATCAAGAAAAAAGAGTAATTCACAAAAGTCTGGCAAACAAACCCAAATTAAGAGACTCTGTAAAAAAACAACTAACTTTTAATACTCAAAAGTGTCCAGGTCATACAATATAACATTATTCAGAGTAGCCAAAATGTGGAAACAATTCACATGTCTATCAGATGACCAATGGATAAACAAATATGGTATATCCATACAGCAGAACGAAAAACACTATTTAGCAATGAAAAGCACTAGGTACTAATAGATGCTATAACACATATGAATCTTAAAAGAGCATTGGTCTGCGGACTGAAAGGTCTCAGGTTCGATTCCGGTCAAGGGCATGTACGTTGGTTGCGGGCACATCCCCGGTGGGGGGTGTGCAGGAGGCAGCTGGTCGATGTTTCTCTGTCATCGACGTTTCTAGCTCTCTTTCTCTCTCCCTTCCTCTCTGTAAAAAAATCAATAAGATATATTAAAAAAAAAAAAAAAAAAAAAAAAAGAAAGAAAAAGAAAAAAGAAATGAAGCACTCACTGGGCTACAATGTGGGTGAGCCTTGGGGAACATAATGCTCAATGATAGAAGCCAGACACAAGGAATCAAGTGGTCTGACTCCATTTACATGAAATGTTCAGAACAGACAAATTATATATACAAGCAGAAGGTACAACATAGGTTGCTTAGGCTGAGAAAATAAAGGCTGAGGGGAGGCTGATGAGAACTGGGAGATGGTGGCTAAGGGGAACAGTTTCTTTCTGGCATCACAGTGTCCTAAAACTGACTGTGGTGTTAGCTGCAAATATACTAAAAGCCACTGAATTGTACACTTTAAATATGTGAATTGTATGGTATGTACATTACATCTAAAAAAATCTGTTTTTAAAATATCTGAAAAGGCATAAAATTAAAATAAATCCTTGATATTTGACTGGAAAAGAAGGCACAGGTATGACCTTAACTGCTTTTAATATACACATAGATAAAAATAAATGTGTGAGCGTTCCATAGCTCTGCCCACTAAAAGAGCCTAGAAGCAGTTTCCCAGCCCAGTAGCACTTTTGAGCATTCCTACGACCCAAATCTTAATTTCCAAATACCACTTTCCACTAAAAGAAACCAGGGCTCCTTGGGAAAATAGCTGATTTGAGGGCTGGAACCTGGAAAAGACAAGATGCTCCCAGAACACCTTGTGCCAGAAAATAAGGAAGTTGGTCAAAGCATGGCGAGACATATCAAAAGAATTCAAAAGAAGCCAGCCTGAAGAAGTTCTCACAAGCAAAATACGGGACAATCTGGGCATCAAATAAATGATAGTAATAGATTATAGCCAATGCACTAAAATTTTCCAAAGATAGTGAAACAGTATCTTCCATTCCACGTGCTCTTCTTCAAATATCACTTTGATACTCTTTCCAAAAAGTAAGGGCATTTATGCCCCCACCCCATGAACCTGGGCAAAACTTTATGGCTGCCTTACCTAATAAAGAATGGCAGAATTAACGCCACATGACTTCTAAGGCTACACCATAAAAATGCCACACTGCTGCCTATCTCTGGGGACTATCATGCTGGAATCCACACACGATGTTAGAGGAAGCTAAACTAGCCCAACAGAGACTACACAGAGATATTCTACTATATGTGCGAGAAAAGATGCCACTAAGGCCCATCAAGTCAACCCCAGCCTTTGAGTCTTTCCAGACTGAGACCCAGACATTGTGGAACTCCTGATCCAAAGAATTATTGTTTTATTCTACCAAGTTTTGGGATAGTTTGGTTCAGCAATAACTAAAACATAACCCACTAGAATATAAACTTAATTCCATGGTGTTATAATTAAATAAATTAAAAGCTTGATGAGAAAAACTCTGGGGAGGGAGGGTATGTATGGGAGGGGGGCAATGTTAAAATATGTACACAGATAATAATTTAATTAAAAAATAAATAAATAAAAGCTTGATGAGAAATGGAAAATTTACATGGTTTCCAAGCACCTACTCCCAAAATACTTAATAATCAAGAAAAAAGAGTAATTCACAAAAGTCTGGCAAACAAACCCAAATTAAGAGACTCTGTAAAAAAACAACTAACTTTTAATACACAAAAGTGTCCAGGTCATACAATATAACATTATTCAGAGTAGCCAAAATGTGGAAACAATTCACATGTCCATCAGATGACCAATGGATAAACAAATATGGTATATCCATACAGCAGAACGAAAAACACTATTTAGCAATGAAAAGCACTAGGTACTAATAGATGCTATAACACATATGAATCTTAAAAGCATAATGCTAAAAGAGGATGGTACAGAAGTTCTCATATTGTCTGATTTCGCTTACAGGAAACATCAAAAAAAGACAAATCTACAGTTGGCCAGGGTGGGAAGAGGTACTGACTACAAATGAATGAGGTTTG